CACGGGGCGGGAGGAGCAGCGGCAGCGGGGCCGTGCGGGCTCTCCCCCCGCTGACCCGCTGCCCCCGGCCCCGCAGGAGACCTACAAGCTGCCGCACCGGCTGATCGAGAAGAAGAGGCGCGACAGGATCAACGAGTGCATCGCGCAGCTGAAGGACCTGCTGCCCGAGCACCTCAAGCTCACGGTAGGTGCGAGCGGCGGGCGGAGCGCCGGGGCCGGGGGATGGACGGGGCTCTGCTGCCGTTTCGCCGCGGATTTGGGGTGGGTTGTGTTTTCGCTCCGTGGTGCTGCACACCCGGACGGGCTGTAAGCGCATCCCAAACTTTCTCGGGAGGGATGTTCTCGGGTGGCTCTATGAGTGTGGGTCCCTGCGGGAACTGCCCGCCGGACACCCCCCCTCGCTGCCGGGCGAGAGGAGCCCCCGGCCGGGGTCCCCAGGGCTCTCCCGGGCTCAAGTCACGATGCCAGCAGGGGCAGCAGAACGGATAAATAAAAGCCTTCTCCTGAGCTATGCGGCTGGTCCGAAAATACACATAGGGTTCTGAGAGAGCCTTTCCCGGAGCCCGCTTTTTAACTTATTTCCTGGAATGTTGTCGGTTATAGTCCTGCACTGCTCAGGATCACACCGTACCCGTCCTCCCTCGGCTCCTGGGAGGGCTTTGGCAGCCCCACAGGCTGCTGCCTGCATGTCCAACCCCGCAGCAGGCGCCAACCTGTCCCTGTGCTCCCAGACCTTAGGTCACCTGGAGAAGGCTGTGGTGCTGGAGCTCACCTTGAAGCACGTGAAGGCACTGACCAATCTCATCGAGCAGCAGCAGCAGAAGATCATCGCTCTGCAGAACGGTTTGCAGGCAGGTGAGTGTTCCTGCGGCGCAGTGTGAGCCCCTGTGCGTGAGGGACTCTCTCTGGGGAGGCTGTGAAAGGCGGTTGTGACACCTCGTTCCTGGGAAGGGAGGAGGCAGGAGCTCTGGCCTTTCATCGCTGTCATTTTCTCTGGCTTTGCTTACAAGCTGTTGCAAAAAAAGATGCATTTCTCACGGCAGTCAGTGCCCTGTGGGGTTGTTTGCAATCAAATTGGGTTTTAAGTAGTTGTAGTTAAAGCCCGGGTTTGCTATGAGGTTCTCTCCAAAGCTACCTAAATCTTCCCGTTTGTGTTCATGAGCTTTACATAACCCAGTTGGGTTTGTTTGCGTGTTTTTTTCTGAAAACAAATCTGCTTTTTGTACACACCTTTTTTAAGTTTCTAAATAACTGAGCTGGCCTGTGCTCTGCACACAGAAGGGACTCGGTGTTTCAGCTTATCAGCTTTAGATATACTTCCTCCTCCTGTTTTCACATGTGGCACTCACGTGAATCTGATAAAGTAAAACTGAGTTTTTGGGGGAGCTGTCCCTGCCCCGGCAGCCACAGGGAGGGTGGTGGAGCTGCCCGGGGCTGGTGGAGCTGCTGGTGGAGCAGCTCCCAGAGCTCCCTGCCCGGAGGTGCAGGGCGAGGTGCACCCTGCGGTCCCAGGGGTGGTTCCTGGGGAAGGCACAGCTTGACTCACTCCTGTGCTCTGTACTCCAGCACCTGTTGAAGGTGGATTGTACAGTAAATACAGAATGAAAAATAAGCTTAAAGTTGTTATGTAAAAGTGGACAGGTGGATGTTCCAGTGAAAATGTCCATTTTTGCAGAAATCCCAGGATTTCTGTTCCTAGAGTCCGGGCTGACCATCGCAGTCCCCTCTGGCTGTGCTGTACCCCAGGTTCAATATCATCTCCGGTTCTCCTCAGAAATGGAAGTGGAACTATTTAGCATGTTGTTAATTTTTAATTTCTTTCTGTTAATGTTCCCTTAGGTGACCTGTCATCGAGAAACCTTGATTCCAGCCAGGAAATGTTTCGATCGGGTTTCCAGATGTGTGCCAAGGAAATGCTGCAATACCTGGCGAAGCACGAGAACGGCAAGGAGCTGAAGTCGTCGCAGCTGGTCAGCCACCTGCACCGCATGGCCAGCGAGGTGCTGCAGGGCGGGGCCGCCCGCAAGGCCGGGGACATCCCCCCCAAAATGGTGGACCTGAAGGAGAAGCCCGTGCCCTTGAGCACGGCGGGCGAGGGCCACGGGAAGAACTGCGTGCCCGTGATCCAGCGGACATTCGCTCACTCCAGCGGGGAGCAGAGCGGCAGCGACACGGACACGGACAGCGGGTACGGGGGGGAGCTGGAGAAAAGTGACTCCAAACCCGAGCAGCCCTATTTCAAAAAGGATACCGACCTCAAGTACGCCGTGCAGGAGAGAATAAGCTCTATTAAGCAAGAGACTGAGGACCCGCCAGCCAAAAGGAGCAGGCTGGAGTCGCCGGAGGACGAGGGCCCTTTTGGCAGCGACATGATGGGCTCTTCCAGCAGCTTCCTGGGCCCCCACGCTCACCAGCCTCCCCTGTGCCTGCCTTTCTACCTGATCCCGCCGTCCGCCACCGCCTACCTGCCCATGCTGGAGAAGTGCTGGTACCCGGCCTCGGTGCCCGTGCTGTACCCCAGCCTCCCGGCCTCTGCCGCAGCACTCACGGGCTTCATGAGCCCCGATAAAATCTCCCCCCCTCTGCTGATGCCCCAGAGACTCCCTTCTCCTGTCCCGGCCCATTCCCCCATCGACTCCTCGGCTCTGCTGCAAGCTTTGAAGCAGATTCCTCCTTTGAACTTGGAAACCAAAGACTAAGCACAGTGTGACTGGTT